CAACTAGTAAAGGACAAATTCGCTCCTATAAGGAAAATATGGGAAATATTTGTCCAAAAGTGAAGGGAAAATTATTATCCTGGTCCATACCTAACAATTGATGAGCAGCTACTGGCATTTAGAGGTAAATTCCGTTTCCGTACATACCAAATAAGCCAGCCAAATATGGCATTAAAATTATAATGATGTGTGATATAGAATAGAAGTATTACGATGGACAACTGGTTTACATCCATACCTTTTGCTCAGTCGTTAGGAAATCACCCGTAGAATTTAACAATAGTTGGCACACTCAGATCAAACAAAGCAGAAATACCTTCTGAATTAAAAAACAAAAAGGGACGTAAATGCGGAACGTCAATGTTTTGCTACGACAAAAATTTAACTCTATTATCCTATAAACCAAAACCTAGCAAAATAGTATATCTTCTGTCATCTTGCAATGAAATGGGTACTATTTACCCCGTTTCAAATAAGCCAACCATGATTGAGTTTTACAACGGAACAAAAGGGGGAGTAGACACCCTGAATCAGATGTGCAGCGCAATGAGTTGTTCAAGAAAAACGAACAGGTGGCCATTGTGCCAATTTTTCGGTATGCTAAACATTTCTTTTATAAATTTGTATGTTATTTACACACACAATATATTTAAAGTTGGACAAAAGCCTTTAAAACGGGTAGATGTTATGAAAAAGTTGTTTACTAGTCTTATAGATAGTCACTTAGATGACAGACTTAATATGCCAACAATTACCACTGCGGTAAGGAATGACATAATAAATTTACGACCTGACCATCCTAAAAATGGATCAGAAAATATGATACGGGCATCAGAAGCTAAGAAACGGAAGATTTGTGCCATGTGTCCTTCTTCCAAACGAAGAATGACGAAGGTGGTATGCGCAAAGTGTCATAAACACCTATGTGGAGAGCATAAAGTTGATGTTTGTGCCTCCTGTCTTATCTGAGGCTTGAACTTCAAAAGCTAATTTTTCTATTTAAGTTTAATTATTTAGTTTTAAGAAACTCAAAGACTTGTATCAGAATTCCTGCAACAAATTGTGATTTTTTATTTTTAAAAGGTAACGCCTTAAAGTTGCGTTTTTTTTCGTCTATCTTGGAACCAGCGTAAACACCACCAACAATGTCAGCCTAGAAATCCAACGCAGGATAACTCTTGCCAACAGGTGCTACTTCGGACTGAGTAGGCAATTGAGAAGCAAAGTCCTCTCTCGACAAACAAAAACCAAACTCTATAAGTCACTCATAATACCCGTCCTGCTATATGGTGCAGAGGCTTGGACGATGACAACAACTGATGAGTCGACGTTGCGAGTTTTCGAGAGAAAAGTTCTGCGAAAGATTTATGGTCCTTTGCGCGTTGGCCACGGCGAATATCGCATTCGATGGAACGATGAGCTGTACGAGATATACGACGACATTGACATAGTTCAGCGGATTAAAAGACAGCGGCTACGCTGGCTAGGTCATGTTGTCCGGATGGAGGAAAACGCTCCAGCTCTGAAAGTATTCGACGCAGTACCCGCCGGGGGAAGCAGAGGAAGAGGAAGACCTCCACTCCGTTGGAAGGACCAAGTGGAGAAGGACCTGGCTTCACTTGGAATATCTAATTGGCGCCACGTAGCGAAAAGAAGAAACGACTGGCGCGCTGTTGTTAACTCGGCTATAATCGCGTAAGCGGTGACTACGCCAATCAAGAAGAAGAACGCCTTAAAGTTGAAGCCAATTGATAGAAGACTGTGAATTATTAATTTTAAGTTAAAAGAATATAAGTTTTCGACTCACACCCTACTGAAAAGGGATTTGAAATAAGTCGTCGTCATATTGACGAAGGATGACATTAATGTACAAAAAAAAAGGATGACCGTCCAGGGTTAAGTGTGCTCTGCCCAATCCACAAAAAAGGTGACCTCAAAATCGGCGCCCACTACCGTGCGATAAGCCTCGACAACGTCGCATATAAGGGTCTATCGAGCGCACAGTGTGAAAGACTAAAGCCCACCGTCAGCAAATCGATTGCACCTTATCAGTGTGGCTTTAGGCCTGGAAAATCAACAACCGACCAGATATCCACTGTGCGCCAATCTGAGAAAAGAAGAGTGAAAACATAATCGACACACACAACTCTTCGATTTCTCAGTTGCTTTTAACGGCACAAAAAGAACTGCCCTTATGCCCATATGTCTGAATTTGGTATCCTTGCAATACTAATATGGCTGTGTAAACTAACGTTGAGCAATACCAAAGATCAGGGCAAAGCAAATGGGTTTGATAGTGAATGGGTGAAGACGAAATAGCGCCTGCCATCAAACAGACAATCGTCGCCTTCGCGACTTGACTCCCACGTCACTGTTGACAATCATCACTTCAAAGCCATAGATAATTTCGTCTATCTTGGAATCAGAATTAACACCAACAAAAATATCAATCTCGAAATCCTACGCTGAATAACTCTTGCCAACGACGAACGAAGACCAAACTTTACAAATCACTCATCATCCCCGTCCTGCGCTAAGGTAGAGGGGCATAGACGATGACAACAGCTGAAGAGTTTTCGAGAAAAAAGTTCTGCCAAAGATTTCTGATCCTTTGCGCATTGGCAAGGGGAATAACGCTCTCGATGAAACGATGAGCTGTACGAGAAATACGACAACATTGGCATAGTTCAGCGAATTAATTAACTAATTATAATTATATAATTTTAATTAATCAGAACTTAATTTTATAAATTCAAATTAAAATAATTTTTAACACTAAGAGATGAAATTTCCTGATTTCTTAATTAACTCCAATTTAATTAATTAAAATTGAACGAATTTATTATATCTATCGAAACATTAATGTATTTTATTTAATTTTTTGAAAGTAAATACAAAATCAATAAAAAACAACAATTAGCTGGAGGTAAATAATAATTAATATTAATTAAAAAATTATACAGCATAATTTGTTTAGTTTTCTTAATTAACAATAATTAATTAAATTTTACCATTTAATTGCAATGCAATTCAATAAATATGTTGTTAATTATTTTAATTTATTTTAATTATTTCAGTTAGACAAACTTTTTTTTCCATTGTTATTTAATGAATTTAATTAAGAATAATTAAAAACCTTCTAATTAACGTTAATCAAATGAATAATAATTAATAGATCAATATTCACATCATTAAATCCGATAAGAATTGCATTTATCTTTAATTTGGGCACTATATTAAATATTTAAACCGCAGCCCAACACATCTGGTAACACTGCAACGCATCAATGGTTTTAATCAGCCAACACGGCAGTTCGGTGTGGAAATGAAGAATTGCCTGTTGGCAAATGAGATGGAAGTGACATAATTGTAATGGGATTTGGGACGAACATTTTATGTGGAACTACCGACAATGTGACAACATATGTTGTATTTGGGGGTAAGCTCTACATATGTGCGCCAACTAAAACCGCATGTGCCTGCCCCGCCACCTTTGATAGCCACAGATGTGATGGTAAGATGCGAAGGTTAGGAAACAACAAAATCTCATTAGATTAAGTGGCATAACGGATTAATTATGTAAGCGTGACGAAGGTACGATGATGTGGAAGGCATGGCAGCGCCACTAGTAACCGTAATGACAATTCCACCCGATTAGTGAAATGAACTGCCACACTAATTAAAAGACGGAGAACAGGGTTCATGGGCTTAAGGTAGGTGAAAAAGTTCACCAAAAAGCTGGTGCTCTCAATAGGGTGGATATATTGCAGAATTCTAAAACTTGTGAAATTAGAATTATATGCANTTTAATCAATAATAATTAAATATACAATAATAAATAAAAAATCTAATTAAATCATATACATATATGATTAGTTAAGTATTATTTATTTTTGTATAATTAACCAACTATAATTAAATGATTTTAATTAACCAAAAATTATTTTTCTAAATACACTTTATAACAGCTACTAACACATACCAAACAAGTTAAATGAAATTTCCTGATTTCTTAATTAACTCCAATTTGTATTTTTTATATATTTAATTAATTATAATTAAACGTATTAAATTTATCGAAACACTATGGTTCGTTTTATTTAATTTTTTGCAAATAAATACCAAAAAAAAAAACAATAATAAACACGCCTATTTGTTTCCATTGCGAATCTATGTAGCAAAAAATATGGCTGAAGATGTCTAGATAAAAAACAACAAATAAACTTACTAAATCTATGCTTATTTAAATTTTTATTTTTTTTTTTTTTTAATAAATTATTTTCCAAAAATTCTCTTAATTTAGAGCTTGTTGAAAAACCTGTCATAGTTTATTTACCATAAAAAGAATTTCAACCCTAAAAGCCACTATTAGCAACGATATCCACGAAAGAAATTCATCAGTCATAAAAGATCTTACTTTTCATACTCTAGCCCGGCTTAACTTTTTAGAAGTGTTATCGGCACACGAATCACAACTCTAAATTTTAGAGTTTGCAAATAAAATTCAAACTTTACAAAATGCTCGTGTTGTCACAATTGACGACGATCAGCTTTGACCTAAAATATTTCGTGTATCGGCCTTTCCGCACTTCACCTGAATCCGTTACAAAATCCAATATTTGTGTGCATACTTGTATATGCGAAAGTTAAATGCAAACGCAATATGTAGGTATGTATGTATAACATAAGTACATAAGTACACAAGCGTTGGGGTATCCGTATGGCCCAGCGTTGGGATAGAATATTGGTCGATATATCGCTATGTCGGCTGTGCGGTGCGATGTGCGCGTTGCGCGTTGATACGCAACAAGGTCATTGGAAAAATCGTTAAAGCAGACGACGAAATTGCCTAAGTATACATACAAATTTTTTTCACTATCAATTGGCGTATTTTCTCCAACTTTTTAACGATTTAGCAGCAGGCCAATTTTTAAGAAAATTTTCTAATTTACTAAGTGCTTTGTAGAAATATGCTGAAAACTTTAAATATTGGCACTTACCTATTAGATTTTATATGCTTTAGCGTGTTTTCGGGTTCCACGGAGTTTTCAAGCCAAATTGGTACCATTTTCAAAGTTCTGCCACAAATCACTTTATGAAAAATTACTTTCACTTAATGAAAAACACACATACACGACGTAATTACGCTTCTACTTTTAATTACTCAATTAATTTAACACATACAGATGTAATTTTCTTTTTTACTATTTTTACTCTACGAATTTAAACACTTTTCCTCCAAGGATTTATTAATTTTCTAGGGCTTTGAATTACTTGCAGAATATTTTTCAGTCTTCAGCATTAACCTTATATGCCTTTTTGATATATATAAATATGTATGTATTACTGTATATGTATATAGAAAAAATTTTACACAGTTTGGTTTTCCGTTTTAATGTCTTTAGAACTCCAGGTCTGCACAGCAACTGATAAAATGTCAAGTCCACGAAAATGCTAGTAGCTTAGAAAGCCTTGAGACTGTGTTGAAAGCTCCAAAGGTTGTGTTGAGTTTTAGCGAAATTCCTGGAATTGGGAAATTTCCAACAACTTGTTGCCGTTTGCAGGCGCCGTCTGCGCAGGACTTGTTTTGGTATTTCTCAACAATGGCAATTACTTGTTTACAAACATTGTACGGCTGATTGGAGCACAACACGTGCACTGGACGCGTCAGCGCAGACGCCAATTACGCCGGCAATGGTGTTATGGTAACATTGCAGCTTTCCAATTGACAGCACCGTTATATTATATGTAAATAATGCATGTGACAACTCGTTGCTAATAAAGCATGCAAACAGTTTGAAAAGAACTGGAGATGTCTATATGTAAATCAGAAATAGCAGCTAGAATTAAAAACATTTTGGAATGAAAATTTGCACGAAAATCTACTTTTTTCGTAATGTTTAATAAAATTCAAAAAAAAAAAATCGTTTGAATCTGTAAGTTTGCCATCACTACTCTGTTCGAGCTGAAGTTGAAAATAATACAACATTTACTTTTATTCATTAATGATGTCACGAACTACTATATACAGGGTGGCTGATGAAAGCCGCTAACAAAAAAAATTAAAACTTCTATTTAATGAATCTGGTTAACTTTCTTTATTATTTTTTTTTTTTTTTTTTTTTTATTTTGCAGATTGACTTTTACATTTAACAAAAATGGATAACTGGGACACTGAAACAATAATTTGGATTGCCCGCCGCTATCACACACTGGAGTCCGTAGTTTCGGTTCAAAGAGAGTATATGTGCACGTTTGGCGGCAATCCCCCGGCAGATGGACCATAATAATACCCAACGATTATCCTCCTCCCGCCCAACCGACGCGATGAGTGCAATCCGCGAACGAGTGGAATTAGCCGAGTCATAAAAGGCAAGGGAGTTTTAAGCGTTGCGATCTTAAGCTGCTCAGCTACAGAAACAAAAATTTCAACAGCCAAAACTAAGAATTAGATTAAAGAGAATAATGAGACTTGTTAACAATTTTGCCGAGCATGGGACAGTCAACAGAAGACCTTACCATCGAAACCCTTCAGTTCGAACGGAGGAAACAATCGCTGCTGTAGCTGCTGCCATGCAAAACAATCCACGTGTTTCGACAAGAAGCTTATCTGCTCAAATGGGTGTAAGCAGACAGTCATTACAGTCAATTATGCACAAAGATTTGGACTTAAATAAAATTTAAATGGCCCTCAAACTGACCGCTGCAGACTTGCCGATTCGCTGGGAATATTGCCACAAGATGCTTCAAATGGTGGAAGAGGATGGAAACATGTTGAACTGTCTTTTCATGTCTGACGAGGCCCATTTCGATTTAAACGGCAACATAAACAAACAAAATTGTCGAAGATGGAGTGCTTCCAACCCACAGAGACTCCATGAGACGGAATTGCATCCACTTCGTGTCACAGTGTGGTGTGCAGTTTCATTACGCTGCATTGTCGGGTCCTACTTCTTCGAAGAAAACGGTCATACCGTTACGTTTACTGGAGACCGTTACTTGAGCATGTTGAGAGAGTTTTTCTATCCAGAATTACGCCGAATGAGCATTTCTTTCAACTCTGTGTGGTTTCAGCAAGATGGCGCAGCTCCTCACATAGCCCAACCTGTTATGACAGAATCGCGACGAAAATTTCCCAATAAGCTGATATCCAGAAACTCCACATTCCGCTAGCCACCCAGGTCGCCTGACCTTACTGCACCTGACTTTTTCTTGAGGGAACCAACAAATTTGAATGAACTAAGGCAGTCCATTCGAGAAACAATTGCGGCTATTCCTGTCTCAACTCTCAAAGCAGTAATGAACAACTTTTTGGTAAGATGCCGCACATGCATCAACGAGCAGGGGGAGGCATTTAAATTCCATTATTTTTAAAGCTAATTAAGCTATATTTAATAAAATTGAATGAGCTTTAACATGAATAAAAGAAAAATGAATTCCATACACTGAAAAAAAAATTATTTGTGTTTCTTAATGTAGCAAAATTCATCAGCCACCCTGTACACTGGTGGTCATTAGGTTAGACGCACGCTTACTTGCATTACAATTGTTTAAATATTTAGTATTTGAATGATAATTGAAAAAAAGTTGATATGCAAAAACATGGGCACTTAACGATACTTAAAATATAATATTCAAATGATTATTCAAACTTAACAAAATTATGTTTTTCAAACATTTTCTTAAAGCTACTCAAAAAAAGGTGCCGTACTTAGGCTTTTAAATTTTTTATAAGAAAAGTATTTTTGTTTTTTTAACTTAAATTTTTAGTTGGTATTAATACTTGATTTATTAGAAAAATAAAATAATTTCTGTAATGAGTACTTCTTCCTTTGTTAGCAATAACTTCATAAATCCGATCCTTCATAGAATGATACAGGGAATTTATGTAGGTTAAGGAAATCTAGCTCCAATCACGTCTAATAGCTGCAGTTAATGTTTTCTTATCTTCGCATATTCCTTCATATACCTTCCATGTTAGCCAGCCCGAAATATTTTCAATTACGTTAGGATCCGGAGAATATGCTGGTCAGTTCATGACATTAACATTTTGAGTCAAAATAAACGACTTTACTACTCGGGGGCTATGAATAGCAGCATTGCCTTGTTGAAAAATCCAATGAATCGGTCCAAAGAGATCACTTAATTTTGTAAATACAGACATCAACAATGTTTTGAAGCGATCGCCGTTCATATTCTGATCGATATAAATCAAATGAATTGTTCCATAAAACGTAATATCACCACACACCATGACTCCACCTTCTCGGTTGTGGTGGAGGCTTAAATATAGGTCATCCTTCCGTAAATCATGATAATAGTTTTGAAAGCCATCAGGGCTATCTAAATAAAAACGTTTTTTTTATCAGTAAAGGCAACTGAACGCCAATTATTGAGTCAAGTGCCAGATTGAACAGTCCACGTCATGTATTCTTTCTCAAATCGAAGCCGTTTTTCTTTGCGTAATTCATTCAGAAAGGGGTTTTCTTGATTTTTACACGTTTAAGTGTTCTGCATTTCCGATTGTACGCTGAAGCGTTGAAAGGTTTGAGTACAAGAACTTAAGGGCAATTGGATGAAATGTTTTGAAACTTTAGTATTGTAGTTTAGGTTAAACAAGACAAATAGGCGAAAGAAGCTCACGCGACCTAAGGTCTATTGTGTCCTTTTCTAATTCACAACGGCCTTCTGGGGCTACCCAGCACTCTTGTAAGGTGCTCCCTGTCGCAGAACCGGCAATTTGCACTAGGCTAAGCCCATGTTATGCAAGTGCTTCTTGAGCTTAGAGTGGCAAGTGAAGAATGCGACATGCATCCTGAGTTTGTCCCTAGGGAGGTTGAACTAAGATTGTAACCAATACCTCTCCCTGCCTACTTCTTCTTCCGTGCAGAGCAACTCCTTTATGGTATGAGGATCCACCGCGAGGAAAGGTTCAGGTCCAACCATTGAGGGGGGCGAGCACATCAGTCATTTCATTTGTGATTATACCTTTGTGACAGGGCACCCAGATGAGGTGCACTTGGTTACGTTCCGATAGACTGTTCAGCCGTTTTCTACTCTCCTGAATGAGTTGCAATTTGATCTCGTAGGCAGAGATTCCTTTAAATGGCGTTTAACCGTCGCAAAGTATGGTTATACGTTCATTGCGATAGTTGCGTTAGAGGTTTATCTCTACGCTCGGACCTCTGCTTGAAACGTGTTTGAAAAACTTCCCATAGGTATGGATAGTTTGGTATGTGATCTTGCGACTCCTGCACCAATTCCCTCAGACGTTTTCGGTGTATCGCACTAAGCGTAACTTTGAACTTCTTGGTGAAATTTCCTCTTTTAGTAGTGCTGTATTTGGGAGAAGAACTAATGGTATTTATCTACTTAAGCCTTTCATACGCTGGGATGAGATTACCTTTAGGTTTGACGAAAAGAGATTTGTTTATTTGTCGCAATATACTTTCCAGTCCACGTATTATAAGATCTGTAATTGCAGATTGCATTTTTATAACGATTTTTTTCGGCTGGTCACATCCTACCTTTTACAGCAATTGTGATTTGTAAAAGCTTCTACTTCAAAAATACAAAGTTGGCTTAAGATAACCGATTTAGAATTTCTATATCTTGAGCAGGTCTTTATTGTAACTGAACTAAGTGAATAAGTACATGAAGGATATCCTCAAGATGAGCTAACTCCCTATAGAAACGTCCAACTTGTGTAAGTTGTTGTGTAAATTTGGTGAAGATTACTTCAGTTGTTTTGAAGGGATATAAAATACTCGGACCGAGGACTTTCGCATTGACTTGTTAGTCAGTTTGCCGAAATTTATTCAAATTCCTACATCAGCTGGTTCAACGTTACTGGAATTGACCCGTATTTTATTCGATTAAGGGCTTTTTTTCAAGACCTAATCTTGTTTTAATCGGTAAGTAAAAAAAGTATAATCTATATAAATAGCAGTAAAAATGGGGAAGTATTCAGATTAAAATTCCGCAAAGACCAGTGTTTCACAAGTTTGTTTTATTCGATTAAGGGCTGTTTTTCAAGACCTAATCTTGTTTTAACCAGTCATTGACTGTCAACTCAGAAGGCAGAATTCTTCCGCTGCAATAACAGCCGGTGTTAGCTTAGTGGATTTGATAGATGCGCGGCACACGGTCTGCTATAGGGGGTATTTCGACTCCAAGTACACTGTTTACCAGGATGGAATCGATGAAGGTGTCAATATCTTCATAGTCAATAGCAGTTAATGCATATCTGAAGTTGAGAAACCATCCTGTCATGATGCGGTATTTTGACAAGTTAGAAATTTTTTGTTTTTGGCAGAGTATTCAGTACCGGCTATCCACATGTTTGAATCGATAAGAAGCCCTCCAAAAGTCTTCAACCAGCCCTCCCTAGCGGAAATTTTAGGATTAGTCCACAGCTTATCAAGTTTTTGAAATGAGCCAGTGTGATTATTTTAATTGAATCTTTGTGTTAATTGCTTTCTGTGAAAATTTCAATATACTTTATTAAAATTTTTAGATATATACATATGAACATAGTTATTTATAATACAATTACAATCAATAATTAACTTTAGGCACAAACCAGTTTCATATAAAATATATTCAAACACTATATAGAACGCCCAAAGAATGTATACTA